GGGCGTTTTTGCATTTTTTACCACTACTTCTCCCACCTGTAGATGGATCTTCACCAAAATTGGTATGGAGGTTTATTAGGTCCATACAAATTTGCAGTTTTACAAATTTGCGTTTTGCGGTTTATATGGGCGTTTTTGCATTTTTTACCACTACTTCTCCCACCTGTAGATGGATCTTCACCAAAATTGGTATGGAGGTTTATTAGGTCCATACAAATTTTCAGTGTTACAAATTTGCGTTTTGCGGTTTATATGGGCGTTTTTGCATTTTTTACCACTACTTCTCCCACCTGTAGATGGATCTTCACCAAAATTGGTATGGAGGTTTATTAGGTCCATACAAATTTTCAGTTTTACAAATTTGCGTTTTGCGGTTTATATGGGCGTTTTTGCATTTTTTACCACTACTCCTCCCACCTGTAGATGGATCTTAGCCAAATTTGTTATGGAGGTTCATTGTGTCCATAGGGAGATTCATACAAATTTGCGGTTTCACATTTTTATGTTTTGCAGTTTTTATAGGCGTTTTATACAATTACATATAAGGGAAGCAACTTTTCCTGTTTTCAGATAACCTTTCATTAATCATGAATTTACATAACTTATGTCCAGGGGACGGGTACTCCAGCTAGTTATTATTATTAATTCGACTGAATATTACTCCAACTATTGATACTTGTTGCTAGGTGATGCTTTTGAATGTTTTGCTCGTGGTGTCGTTATCGAACTTGTTCTGTTTGTAATTGTTACTGTGCCAATCGAAGGCTTCGTTAAGAGAATCGGAAGTTTGCAAAAACACAATATCTATATACGTTTCTTTTTAAGCATAAAAGGTCTTGAATTTTCTTAATGTTAAAATATGTGTTTATCACGACATTAGACAACTTTTTAACCTACACATTGCACGAAATAACGTATGAAACTATATTTATTAAGAACTTTGGTTAGTTATAGTTGTTAATATTTTGGCACCTAAATTTACGATATTTTCCAACGAGATTGATACACACCGTCTTCGTTTTTAACACAAATACGTTTTAATATACACACAACAGTACAATTAC